ACACATACATACAGGATAACACTCTTTAGCATGCTTTATGTGACTTCCCTCTCTTCTTTCTCTTTCTAGAATGATTCACCTGCAGGAAAAATCAGTTTTGTTGGCGAGGAACTGTCTACACTACATGGGAAGGTATGAACTAGCATCTTCACCTTTTAAAGGGAAAGAAGTGTTCTTGTTTATCTTTCAGGAAGTCCATCTTTATTAAGATTTTGGTACTGCATACTTACAGCCACTTGACACTAATTTAAAATGCTGGGCTTTGAAACAGAGAGTAATTCCCACTGATCTCAGTGGATCCACAATTTATTCCACAGCCCCTAGAAATGAACAACTGACTCATCAGGATGGCTCTAGAATACTAGTGCTATACATAGAATTATAGATACAACTTGAGTCATCCTGTTTTAAGCTTCCATAAATACTTACAGAAAGATTCTTCAGAAAGCACTAAAGTAATGTCAGTAGTTAAGCAACAAGCTCCTTTGAAAATCAATTGCAACTTCCTAATAACTAAAGTTTGTAGTGGGTTTTTCCTGGACATATAATTTATTGAATGTTGCCATGTAAATATTTTCTTTTCTCTCTTTTCTCTCCCTACATGATCTCTCCCAGAATGTGTTAGTAGTAGAGGTAAGTAAAGGTTGGAGGGGATGGGGAATGACATGGATGTTTTTCTCCCCTTTCTGCAATTTAATACATATTGCATATAAAACAATGTCACTGGGCTGCCACAGCTTTATGCTCTAAATTAAACCACTGCCAGTCTGCCTTTCCTTTCAGACTCGAAGGACAATTTATTTATTTTTTTTAATCTCTTTCAGGACATTATTGAGACTGGTAGAACAATGACAGCACTACTTTCAAAAATAAAAGACAAGAAACCAAGGATGGTAAAAGTTGTAAGGTATAATAACGTGGCCACTAACTAATGTATTGTTATTGTATATTGATATAGCAAAATCATTTGGGTGAACAGCCAGTGCATGCTGGTGGGTGTTTGTTTGGTTTGAAATTTGGGGGGACAAGTAGTAAATGCAGGAATCAATCCTTATCCAGCTGCTGAAAAACTAGGAGTTTAATAAACTAGAAAACTTACCCATGCACTACCACCTTCATTGTTAAAATTTTTAAAAAGGTTTTCTGGCTCTTTCTCTGTAGCCCATAAAATCTGGACCTCCAGAACAAACCTAGATCAGAACCTTTGCTTCTCCCTCCATTATAAAGCTGAAAACTACATTTTCCTGTTACAGTAATCTCCCTGTTTTAATTTCACTGTGCGTGATTGTAGAAGGGGAGGGGGGTGGGAGAAGTGAACTCTACAGCTTCTACCTTCTCTGCTCTGCCTTACAGCCTGCTTGTTAAAAGGACATGTAGAAGCCTAGGTTACAGGCCAGACTGTAAGTATTGTGTTCTTCTGGTTACCCAAAGTACAGTCTCATAATTTCACTTCATAAGGTCTCTCTGACAGCTGGCATATAAATTTCAGGAAGGCCAAAAAAACCAGGTAGAAAATATATGAAACCCAGTGAACTGATGAACGGTTACCCCACCCTGAGACCTCATGACCACCTTCTTTGTATCCCCCTGGATGATCTGGGCACAGGATTAGCTATTTGATAAGTAAATTAATTTTTAAAAATCAAGAAATAAAATAATTAAATATAAATTTAGCTATTTAGATACCAAAACCAGAATCCAACCTTATCTGTGTATTGTTTGACTTTGACCCAGAGGGCAATTGTTTTGACTCTGTATTAAACTTGCCTTGTTTTCAAACTGAAAAGTCCTATTGAGTCGCAGTGCATCTACTTTCACACAAGTAAAATCTCACTCCTTGTCTCCTCTTTCAGGACTACTTCATAACTAGATTTTAAACAATTATTTTGCTCATTAAATGCATTCTCTTAGCTCTTTAATTGTATTACTAACTGATGGGAATGGTTTATATTCTAACCTCTGTCATCAGTTTACAGCTCATTCTTAAGGAAGTGTGCTCAGTACCCCGAAAGCATGACAGTACATTTGTCAGCAATTGCTCTTAGCTCAAGCATGTGTTGAATACAAACTATGTACTTTAAAACTATTTACACAACCCAAGTATAAAAAGAATTGTATTTTCTTACAGATATAGGCTTTGAAATTCCAGATAAATTTGTGGTTGGATATGCCCTTGACTATAATGAATACTTCAGAGATCTGAATGTAAGTATATGCACGTGCCTCCATTGTTAGGTATGAAAGTTACCACAGGTAACCAGCAAGACTATTCACTTCTTCTCAGAGCTTTTCAACAATTATAAAACCTTCAAATCTGACTAGAAACTTCTGGGCAAATCCATTTTAAGGTGCCAAGCTGGTAATTCAATGTAAATGCATATGAATTTGTTCATGCCTTACCTTTTAATGACTCTACTCCACAAGTCCCATGGCCCAGCTGTGCTGTACCACATTTTGAATCCTCCAGGATGGTGAGCAGCACACAGTCTACTGACCACATCTGAAAAGAAAATAACTTGTAATTTGACATTAATTTGATTGTCTCTCTTAGTGCAATCCCATGTTATTCTTTTCTAGCCAAGTCTTTTGTTTTCAAAAGTGCTTTCTTAAATCTAGTTAAGTGAAAAAGCTTTTAATTTGAAAGACTTATTACTAAGAAAAAGCAGTTCTATTAAAGACAAACAATCTGTGGTGTTGCATAGCAGCCTGAAGGAGGATACAAGAATTGAAGAAATCTGACTTCTACAAAATATATAAATCT